TGGCCGGACGTCGCCGTTGCCAACGTCAACGTCAACATCGTCGTCTTCGTCGTCTTCTTCATCGTCGTCATCACAATCGCTCGTTCGAAAAACGAGGATCGATAATTTTGGGCGTATCTGTGCGCCCAGGAAGCTTCTCGCCGCCATGGCTGAATTCCCCTCCGCATCCGGTTCAAAACGCATCCCGTGAGGGGGATCGTGAGGTTGAGCGTTGAGGGGCGGTCGTCGTCGTCGTCGTGGTCGTCGCCGTCGTCGTCGTCGTCCTCCTCGTTTCCTTTCTCATCCTTCTACCTCCAACGCAGCAGCCGCGAGCACATGGTAAGAGACTACGTAGACACATGCGGCCATGTAGACACATGCATGCCTGTATACGTTTGAGCGCATGCGAAGTACTGCGAATCCTTCGGGCCCCAGCAGGGTGAGCGCCTCTCTGTGCGCACCAGTGGTGCCGAGCTCCTCGAGGGAGCTCGGCGGTCGGCAGGGCGGAGCTGCGAACGCGGGCCTCAGTATGACGTGCCCCATTCCTGCTCCTGCCATGCCCCTCCCCGTACCGTCGGGGGAGCAGGCGGGGCCTGAGACCTGGGGGCAGGAGAACGAGAAGGTGCAGGAAGATGCAGGGATTCATGGAGGCAGACTTGGGTGAGGGGGAGGACAGGAGAAGAAGAGGGAAGAGGGGGTGAAGAGCGAGGAGGACCAGGAGGACGAGGGCGAAGCGGGGGATGACGATGATGAGGACGAGAAGGGCGATGATGGTGATGATGGTGATGATGATGATGATGATGATAATGATGATGATGGTGATGATGATGACGATGATGATGATGACGATGAGGATGAGAAGGAGAGGAGGAGCCCACGCCGCGGATGGAGGTCTCCAGTCAGTCCGCCTGGGCAGCACGATGCGCGCCCGCGGCCCCCGCAGAACCTGGCCTCAGGGGCGAGACGGACATCCCGACCAGCTCCCCGAAGTTGTCGTCGTCGACAAAGCAGTCGCCCGAGGGATCGGTGACGGCGACGGCGGAGCCGTGCGTATGGTCCACTTGAAGTTGGGGACCTGCAGGCGCAGGATCGTCAGCACCAGGAAGGACAGCAGACGCCATGACCTGCGTCGAGGCGTCGTTCGCCTCCTCCTCCTCCTCCTCCTCCTCCTCTGGCACGAACATCTGCTCGGGGTAGTCGTATGCAGCCACTTGTGGGAGAAGTGCGGCATGCATGTCCAGAGCGTCTAGAAGGGGCACAGCATCGCTCTCATCTGCCATCGCCACTTGCAATCACATGCTGGACTGGTCGGTCGGCAATGGCTCAACAGGCTCCTCTCCCGGGGCGTGCGGGAAGGGGGGAATGGCAGGGAGAGCAGAGAAGCAGATGACCATCTGGGACAGAGGGCCCAGGACCAGGAGCACCACCATGCCCAGCTTGCCGCCATTCATTCACCACCCCCGCAGCGTCTTCCACAGCGGCAGGGCCAGCAGGGGTCCATCCACCAGAATGCGAAGCCATGAGATCCACGAGGTCAGCACTGGCCATGGCATCAAAACCGTCGAACTCAGGCGTGCTGCTGTTGACGTTGAGCATCTCATCTCCGTCTCCCTGGAGTCGAAGTGGTCGTGCAGGCCAGAAGCGAGTCTGGACTTTGTGACTTTCTGCGAAATCCAGTAGGAGGAGCAACTCCACCAACCTGAGCACACCGTGGGTGAGGGAGAAGACCCTCGCCAAGAGCCGGCACTTCAGGATCAGGATTAGGATTGAAATCAGGACAGGTAGCGGTCTCTGATCCCAGGATCGGCAACGATGGCCTGCCATCTGGCCTGCCAATGAATCCTATCACCATGCCAGCGTCGTCTTCAGGATCCGGAGCTACTTCTGCGCCAGGGGAGGTCGCGGGGAAGGTCCCCACCTCCGTCTGACCACCAGCAGACATAGAAGACGGACGAGCCACACTGTCGCCACAGAGAGGAGGTCCCACAACAAGACCGGGAGGGTGGGTCGACGTGTGTGGCCGCGGGGAAGGCCCCCGCCTCCGTCGGGCAACCAGCCGACATCGCAGAAAGAGGGGTTGGCGGCGCGCACAAGGGGGTGTGGGGAGGGGGGAGGGCTTCTTAGAAGCAGGCTGCTTCTTAGAAGGCGCCGGCCTTACATCTATAGATAAGGCCCGCGCCTTCTGAGAAGCAGGGGTGCTTCTAAGAAGCCTTCCCCCCTCGCCCTACCCCCCTCTGCGCGTGGCCGAAGGGGGGCAACGCTCGCATGACCAGGAGGACCCCCAGCACCAGGACGAGGCCGGTCGTCGCGTGAGGCCGCAGGGAGGGCCCCAGCCTCCGTCGGGTCTCCGGCCGACATGCCCAGAGCACCAGCGCCCACCGGTTGGAGGGCCAGACCACCGACCGAGCTAGCAGGATGGACCACGCCAAAACCATGCTGTGCCATCAGCTGTTCTGAGGAGGAGGAGGAGGAGGAGGAGGAGGAGGAGGAGGAGGAGGATGGGGATGAGGATGAGGAGGAAGAGGAGGAGAAGGAGGAGAAGGAGGAGGAGGAGGGGGAGGAGGAGGAGGAGGAGGAAGAGGAGGAGAAGGTGGAGGATGGGGAGGAGGAGGGGGATCATGACGAAGACGAGGAGACGAGAGGAGGAGGTGAAGCTTCTCGAAACGCTCTAGAAACCCTGGGAGCCACCCTGACCTGATACCCTCATTCTCCTTGTTCCAGGCGGCGCGAATGTAGCCCACCCAAACTCGCAATTCAGGAAGGGTGTCGACGGGTCTGGAGCCAAATGCAACACCAAGTTCAAAGACCAAACCTCATCCACTCCTGTGTCCCTCACCTCTGCCCCCTGGGAGTCCGCGTGTGCAGGTTAACAAGCCTAGAGCCTAGACGCACACATACACAACACACAACACACAACACACAACACACAACACACAACACACACACACAACACACAACACATAACACACAACACACACAACACACAACGCACAACACACACACACAACACACACAGCACACACAAAACAGAAACACAACACAAACACACAACACACAACACACAACACAACACACACACACACCACACACCACACACAACACACACACAACACACAACACATAACACACAACACACAACACACACACACACCACACAACACACAACACACACCACACACACAACACACACACACCACACACACCACACACTGCACACACTAACACAAACACACACGCACGCACACATGCACACACGCACACATACACACACACGCGCACACACACACACACACACACACGCACACACACACACACACACACACACACACACGCACACGCACGCACACGCACACGCACTCACACACGCACGCACACGCACACACGCACACGCGCACGCGCACGCGCGCACGCACAAGCACACGCACACGCACACGCACACGCACACGCACACGCACACGCACACGCACACGCACACGCACACGCACACGCACACACCACACACAACACGCAACACACAACACACAACACACAACACACAACACACAACACACAACACACACACACACACACTGGGAGGCGGAGGAGCAGGTGGATGTGGATCCTCCTCCCTCTTGCCTCCCCTCCCCTACGTAATCCCTCGCTCCCTCCTTATCCCTCTCCTCCTTCTTCTCCTCCTCTCCCTCTCACGTCCGCGCCTCCCCTGCGGGAGAGCGGAGGAGGAGGCGCAGGCCGCGGTCCTCCCTCCGCTGCCCGCCACCCGCCGGGGCCGCTGCGCCCTGCGGGACGAAGGGCGCCCCCGCGCCCGCGATGCCAGACCTCGGAGCGGCCAGGAGGGACGGTGGGGGAGGGGGGGGAGGGTCCTCCTCCGAGAAGAGCAGGAGGAGCAGGAGGAGCAGGAGGGGGAGGGGGAGGGGAGAAGGGGGAGGTGGCAGGGCGCGAGCCAACACGGTGCCTTTCGATTGCGTTGTCCCTGGTTCTGTCTTCGCTCCGCCTTTGCTGCAAAACGAAATCGAAGACAACGGTCCACGAAATCACTAAAGCACCGTTCAGCTCGCGCCGCGGGAGGAGGAGGAGAATGAGGATGAGGATGAGGAGGAGGAGGAGAAGGAGGCGGAGGATGACGGAAGCTCGGAGGTCAGAATCTAGATGGGAACCTGCCTCGGCTGACCTCCCTGCGAACCACGCACGCGGGTGCAGCAGTGCGGGGAGGGGCGCATCGTCGCTCTGGGTCGGTGACGCATGCGCGACAGCGCAAATCGTATAGAAGAGCTTGCCTGCGCTTACACCTGACCTGTTGTGCGCCGTGGTGTCTCTGGAGCACGAGCACCTGCTGGCATGACGAAGCTTCTCCTTTCCAGCATCACAGGGACAAGGCAGAGGGCATTGGCAGGGGTCTAGAGGCGAGTGGTACCTGACTCCACTACAATAAAACGCAGATCCCCTTTTCGTCCCCGAACCTGGCAGGAGGAACTGGAGGACGACGGCTACAGCGACGACTCTCCTCTTGACTGCCACGCGGGAACGACATGAGATCCAGTAGGAGTGACATATCCCAATCGATGTGTCTAGATAGACGCTTTGCACTCTGACTGCAGGAGTGAGCGGGCTGCCATGGCTTGTCCAGCAGCGCCTCCAGGTCCAACCTGATCCACGATGCGATCCTCGTCGTGACCTAGCTGGTACCGATACATCCCACAACGCGGCGCATGCAAAGACATCTGGCAGCTCGACTTGTTCGAGGCATTGGCCGTCGGACCTATCGACCCTTCTTCCCAGGGCCGACTTTTCATTTCGATCAATTGTTTGAAGATCCTGGGGCACGTAGCTGGCCACCAGAGCCCAAAATGGCGAAGACTGACCGTCTCGACTTGTGGGGGCCGCTGCATGCCTGGGAAGCGCAAAGCATACAGCTGACCGAGGGTCTGGTCGAACACCCCACCCCCGCTCGATCAATCAAACAATGGGCCACATCGGCGGCATGATCGGGCCCGATCGGCGATCGCGTGGAAGGCATCGCACCGCGACAGGTATCGTTACATCGCGGCCTATCCACTGTCTGCTCGGCTCGTCGCGCGTGACGATGTCGTCGACGTCTTGGTTTTATAAAGGTCCTTGTCGCCATGGCTGGGCGCAGCTTGAAAAACTGGCCAGAATTGACCATCGGAGGGGTCTGACAGATCTTGGATGGAACTCTTGCTCGGGCGGCGACGACGACGACGACGACGACGACGACCACGAGTGTGTCGCTCCAGCCAGAGAAGCTCTGAGCTCCTGGCCCGCCGTCCTCGATCAGGATCTCCGTGATCAGGGACGGCGCGGGGGGGATCGGCGTCGGGTGCTGCAGCATGGGCTCCCCGCAGCAGGCCAGGGGCGTCCCATCCTGCATGGCCTGGATGGTGACCTCAATGTCCTGGCGGGCAACAAAACACTTAACCATAAGCTTTCGGAGCTCAACGAAGACTTCTCGGGGCGGCACTACCGTGCCAGGAGCGGCGCCAGAGGCACCGCCAGGGGTAGGTGGGGACGGGGCCCGGTGCCGACCCGAGAAATCCCGCGCGGCCTCTCCGAAAGTCCACGCCGGTGCAGCTTCTTTAGAGACCTCCTAGATGGGGTCCGAGTAGATTGGGTCGGAGGATCGCGCCGCATCGCCGATGAAGCGGCGTCGGCGATGCATCGGCGTCTTTGGACTGGAGCAAATCGGGGCCCACACCGGGCCGCATCGGCGATGCATCGGCGATGCGGCTCGATCCTCCGACCCCCGCTGCTCGGACACCTTACGGGAGGCCTAGATTCTTGGCCCGCGGTGTCCTGCATCAGGTCCTCCATGACTGCTGACACCACGCCCTCGGCCCTCGCGGCGGCGGGGTCGCGGGCCGCCAGCTCCGCCAGGCGGGCGGCCTCGCCCTCCGCCGCCGCGGCAGGCGCCAGGGCGGCGTCGTCTGGCGCCAGCCGAGGGTCCGCAGAGGAGAAGCGGCTCTCGCTCGGGTCCCGGGCGAACCACTCGTCCGCGGTGAAGCCCCGTTGCCCGGCGCAGACCTCGACGTCCTCGATCAGCAGGAGCTCTTCGCTGGTGTTGCTGCTCGCCCCAGTCGCCCCTCTCGCGCGCGGCGTGGCGTCGGAGCTCCGGTCCGAGGCTATGGGGGACTCTTCCTCGCCCTCCGCCTCCACACTCCGGAGCGCAGCGGGCCGACGGTGCGCCCCTGGGGCGAAGAGGGGCTGAGGATCCGCGGCCACCGCGGCCGCGTGCCCCGGGCTGTCGGGGGTGGCCCGGTCCACCGTGCCAGCGCTGTGCGCGGAGATGCGCGAGGGGTCCGGGCGCATCTGGTGTCCGATGGGGGGGGCAGCTCTCGAGTGTGCCCCGGGCCTCGGGGCTTCGGTCTCCTCCAGCGTGGAGCGCTCCTCGTCCACCTGCTTCAGCTCCTGGAGGAGCCTCTGCTCCTCCTTTTTCTGGCGCATGCGCTCCACTTCGTGACGCTTTTCAGCCAGCTGCTTGCGCAGCTGTTCGAGATGCGATTCCTTCGCCTGCCAATCCTGGCGCGTGGCCGCCGCGTCGACGGGGGCCCTGTCGACGCCGCCGGCCACGTCGGCCGTCTCCTGTTTCTGACCGGCTGACGTCTCGGTGAGTCGTCGCTGCACCTCTTCGCAGACATTGAGCCTCAAGGCCTTATCAAGGAGTTCATCCACCTCGCGCATCTCTTGCTCGAGCTGCATGCGCCTTACCCGATCGTCGATCAGTCTCCGCTTCTGTTCGCACAGCTGCCGCGCGCCCTCCTTCTGCCTCTGGAACAGCAGGCTCTTCGCCTCCTTCTCCTGATGGGTGCGCGCCGTCTGGATCTCTGCCCACGTGGCCTCCATGTGATCCCGCAGCGCCTGCAGCTGAGCGTCGATCTGCTCGACATTCGGCTCGTCGCCTGCAGCGGGCGCGGCCGCAGCCGTGACCAGCGGCGACCCATCCTGACAGGGCTGTGGCTGCTGCTTCTGCTGCTGGGGCTGCTGGGGCGAGTCTGGGGGATTTGGCTTGCGCGCCGCGCTCTGCAGGGGCTGGGTGAACTGGGATGGGTGCGCAGCCTGCGGCTGCTGCACTGCCTGAGCCAGCCCTGGCTGCTCTGCTCGCGCCTTCACCGAGGCGGCCAGGAATCGGCCGTCAGTCGAGGAGTCCGCAGTGGAGGGGGCCTCGCCTGGAGTCGCGTACCCGCTGCGGGTTGGCCTCACTGCGCCCTCGGCCGCAGAGGGGACCCTGTCGATGTTCAGCGTGTCTGCACTTTGAGAACCCCACGACGCAGGGGTCCTCCCACAGCGAACCGCCACTTTTCCGGAAGGCCCTGCTGGATTCGCCCCCGCCGGGTTCGGCGGCATCGGGGGCAAAAACTTGAACGAAGAGGTGGTCGAACTGGGAGTCGAGTATCCAGAGGAGAACGGGGATACGTCCCCCCTTGGCCTGATGGCCGAAGCCTCCCGCTGGTTCACGCCGTCCTTGATGGCTCTGCCCAGCTTCTCTGGCTCGGAACTCTGCGCCCGCTTCTGGAGAGCGGCTAGTTTTACTTTGTTGTGTTTGGCGGTGAGTATCATCAGCGACCTCGCTAAGCTATCGCTTTGTTGAGCCAGCCAGCCAGAAAGCAAACATTGCGCGTTTCTGTTGATTTGGTTGTGTGTGGAAGCGTTCTGTCTCGCTTTCGCGGCTGTCCCACCCTGTGGCCAGCGTGTCGCAGCACGCGCGCTCGCCGAGAGAAAACAGTGTGTATGTGCGTGTTGTGTCTTGTTTGTTGCGTGTTGTGCTGTGTGTGAGTGTACGTGTGATCGTGCGTGCGTGCGTGCGTGCGTGCGTGCGTGCGGGCGGGCGTGTGTGCGTGTGCGTGTGTGTGTGAGAGAGAGAGAGAGAGAGAGAGAGTGTGTGAGTGTGAGTGTGAGTGTGTGTGTGTCACTCGTATATGAAGGCGCCAGCAAATCAGCTACCCGAACCAGTGTGTCACTCGTATATGAAGGCGCCAGCAAATCAGCTACCCGAACCAGCACGCTTGCACAGGCCGAAAGCCGATTCCGTATGCATCCAGACCCTAAAGCCTACGAGCGCCACGGGGCCACAGGAACGCCCCGCCAGGAACGATCCCAGGCGCGGCCCGAAGGCCAAAACAAAACTAGGGCACAGAACCCCTGCGGGCATGGCCGCTTCTGGCCAGCCCCGACCTCAAGTGCGAGCCTACTCCCCGACCCCACGACGCCCCCGCGGCTTAGAAGGGTCTTGCGGCCGCCCAGCCAGACAGGTCAAAGCGCCCCGAAGGCTCGCACGGGCCTAGCCTCCCAAGCTCGCACCCGTGGCGGGGCGGAGGTGGTTCAGCAAACGCGCTCTCCGAGTGTGCCTGCCTCTCTGGGCGGGTGGGCGCTCTTTCAACGGCGGCAGGGGGCCAGGGCACACGTTCGCGAGGCTCTTGGCGCCTCTGGTGGCAGAGACGTACGCCCCGCCTCTCTGCACAAGATGAACTGCCCTCGCGCGGCAAGCGCGTGGCCCTGGTCTGGGGAGACGACGCCCCCCCCTGCCCTCCGTCCCCCGCCCGCAACAGCATCGACAAACACCGGCACCGAAGAGTGGGAGGGAGGCCGGGGGCGTTGCGGCGGCCAGGGCAGAAATGTCGGTTTCACTCGGTCCAAGCGTCGCAGCCTCGTCTCCGCCCCACCGCGGCGCAGGGCCCAGCTCCTCGGCGGCAGGCAACGCCTGCCTTCTTGCGATCCGCCACGTCGTGCTTGCGCTGGCGCATCCGCTGCCCAGCCGAAAGCTGCACGCTCTCGCCCCGCGGCGTCGTCCTCCTGGGGCAGCTCCTGCCGGCGCGGGGCAGTGGCCGCCCTGTGGGTCCTGCTGCGTTCCTTCATCATCTCGTTGTCGTCGCAGGGGCTGCTGTCAGTATCCGTGCGCCTTGCTGAAAGCCTCTGCGCCAGCGCACCCTGCGCGGGCATGAGTGCCGCGCCAGCAGGTCGCTTGCGCCTCGGCCGCCTCGTCGCTGGTTGGGCCTCAACTCGGGCGTCGTTGCCGCAGAACCCATCGGCAGCTGCTGCCGCGGCCGCGGCAAGGGCAGGGCCACGCGGCCAGCCTAGCGCAGGGGCCGCCAGACCTTCCTCCGCGCTCTCGGCCGCGCGGGTCCTCACCCTCTTCGCTTGCGGGACGGAGGCATCGACAACCCCTTTCTTGAGGGCCCCGCCCCGCCTGTGGGTGGGGCATCGGCCACCCAGCTTCCGGGGGCCCCGCGACTCTGCTCAGCGGGAGCATCGGCCACCCTTCCCTCGAGGCTCCACATAGTGCGTTGCGTGCCTGGCGAGCACGGGCATCGACTGCCCCTCCTTCGAGGGCCCGGCTCTGCGGGTCTGCGGGGGCATCCACCACCCCTCCAAAGAGGGCCCCGCAGCACTGCGCAGTGGGGGCATCGGCCACACCTCTCCTGAGGGCCCCACTTTGCTCGCAGCTGCCTGTGCGCGCGGGGCTTCGGCCGAGGCTCTTTTGATGGCCCTGCCGCACTCCCCCGCGGCCGCGTCCAAACTGTTTGCTGCGCCCTCTGGCGGCCTACCACTGGCGATGGCGCCTGTCTGCAATTTCCGCCTCGCGCTGGGGGGGGGTCCGAAAGCATAGAGCTGCCGCGGACACCGCTAAGTCCACCTCCCACGGCCCTCGCGGGGCCCGCTCCTGGCACATGTTCTGGCCGATCATCCGACCAAGCAATGCGGTGGGCGAGTTCGTCGCGTTGGCCGGTGTCGCTTGAATCCAGGGTGTCGCGCAGCAACTCCATCGTGTCTCGAAGAATTGGGGCAATTAGACGGGCGCCCCCGACGTCTGAACCAGCCCTGGTGGAAGGGGCCTGTCACGCGCGTGACCTCGGGATCTTTGGCCCTCGCCCCTCTCTTGGTCCGCCCCCCGCGGGGCAATCCAAGGGGTCGCGGCGGGTGTCGCCCCACTCGCGGCCTTCTCAGGACTGCCGGGGTAGGGCCGCATTGCCGTCGCAGGTGCTATAGTCACTGGAGTCGCCAGAGCCGTCTGAGAGGTAGAACTCGCCCCGACCCCCTCCAGCCGATTCAACTGGCAGGGTTCCCTCGCCCCCACTTGGCCCGCGCGCTGGGCGACCCGTGGGGGCCTCGGCGGGCTTCGTGCTGCCAGCGGTCTCGGCCTTCGCAAGGCCGCGAACTGGTCGCAGAGGCTTTGCTGCACGTGCCGCCCAGCTTCCACTTATTGCATGCCTTCGCCCACCTCGAAGTCAGTGTCGTTGCCCTTCACGCAGTGTTGCACTTGTTCGACGTTGCTGACGAGCGCGAACCAGCGGTCGCTGCCGTTGCTCAGGTACCCAAGCTCCCCATCGCTGACGAGAGCCTCGCGCTCCAGGTTGGGGCCTGCGTGGTGCTGAGACGCTTCGGGCCCGGGCGGTGATCTCTGGGCCAGTGCCGGAGCAGCGCGCGCCAGCGCAGGGCTCGCCTGGTGGGGCTCGAACTTCTCCTCTCTCCGTGCAACGCAGGCTGCGACGAGGCTGCAGCTCACCCTGCCCTGCGTCGGCCCCCATCCCGCGGGGTCCTCTCGCGCGCTTGGCCCCGCGGCCTTCCCGCGGAGATGCGGCGGGCCCGCCCGTGCCCGAGCCGAGGGCTACGTATGCCGACAGGCCTGCCGCTCGCCGCCCTGCCTGCGCCGCATCGCTGGCGTCGCTCTCCCCCTGTCAGTGGCCGTCCTGCGGTGCAGCTGGCGCCGCGCATGGGCTGATGACGCTGGCGCTTGCCTGGTCTGCCAGTTGAAGTAGTGGCTCAGGAGGCGCGGCCCTTGGCGTCCAGGGAGGTCTCGTTCTGCGCACGTGGCCCAGGGGCCCCTCCTGGTGCACGATCTTCGAGCGCCGACTCCATCTGCCTCATGAGGTCAGCAAGCGCGCCCCGATGCTCGTCGCGACGCGGCCCCGCGCCGTGGGGGCCCCATTCCTCGAGGCCAACCACGTAGTCGGCGAGGGGCCTGCGCCGCTGCCTGGCGCGCCTCCAGGCCGCGCCGGCCAGGGGCTCCACGAGCGGCGCGCCCGCGCTGCTCCTGGAGGGCGGCTGGGTGCCTCCCGAGGGGCGACGCGCCCTGGAAGATGGCGACGAGGCCAGGGATGGCCCAGCGCTGCCACTTGGCCCCGCCCCCACCCCACCCTGTTCAGGGACAGCCGCATCGATGGCCCATGGCATCGCCCACGCCGCCAGGTTCCCCCCGTGGCCGTGGCCTCGGTTCGCAGCGCGCCCTCAAGGACGGCGGCGGGCGGGGCCGCGGGCTCGCCCCCCTCGCCGCGGGGGCGCCAGGCCGCGGCTAGCGCCGCAAGCAGCGCCGCCCTCGCGTCCTCTCGGGCGTCATCGGTCGCCCATGTCAGGGCGCAGCGCGTGCTCCACCTCTTTCCTCGCTGCGCAGGTCGCTGAGCCCGCCGCCGCCTCCTCGCCGGCGCGGCGGCGGCGCGGCCGCTTCGTCGTCCTCGCTGCTGTCGTTGGGCAGGAAGGGCGGGGGCCCGTCGCGCGATCCTCCTCGGAGCTCGCCGCGCTGTGCTCAGCCATCTCCTCGGGTGGGCGCTGGCCTCCACCAGGGCCCAGCTTGTGGGTGCGGGCGGTCAACCACCTCGCGCGGGTCCTCCAGATCGGCGCGGGGATCGCCACGTGCCTCTCGCCTGCTGCGCCTGCTGGTGCGGGGCCAGCGTGGCCCTGCCCAGACAGGGCCGAATCTGTCTGGGCAGTGGCATTATGGGCCCACCCTGGCCCGCGCGGAGGGACTTGGCGACGCGGAAGTGCGTCAACTGCAGGGCTGCCTCCGCTCCTTTCGCCCGCTGGTCGAGCTCGTCAGGGCGCTGCGACGCCCCCCTGAAATCGGCGCGTCTGTTGGATGCCTGGCTCCAGGGTCGTGCGCAGACGTCCTGGGCGATCCGCTCCGGTTCGTTGCGCTCGAACATTCTGGACGACAGCTCCGAGCCTGCCAGCCGTGCCTTCATGTCTATCGGCTTCCGCAACTTCTCCTGCGCCTGGAAGTTATCCAACTCAATCGATCTCCGCGGCGTCTGCAGGATGGCGGGCAGTTGGGAGACGCTTTCAGCCTCGCGCCCATCGGGCGCATTGGCATCTGCCGCCCCTTTTCTGGAGGGTTCTCGCATTTAAGATGAGCCAAGGCATCGACCCTCTCTCCTTGGGGGCCCTGCTGCCCGCCAACATGAAAGCATCAGCCACTCCTCCTCAGAGCGCCTGATCTGGCACCGCGCTGACAAAATGCGCGGGGGCATCGACCACCCCTCTTACTAAGGCCACCTGCGTCCGACCTGTGGCGGCATCGACCGCGCGTCCTTCGAGGGATCCACAGTCGGCATGCCCGACCAGCGCGGGGGCGTCGACCGCCCCTTAGAGCCCGCTTCGGGGTTGCTTGGGACGAAGTTCGCCGCGTCCAATGTCGTGAGCTCGTCGGGCGCGGGCTCGGGCCACCGCCCCCCTCGCTGCCTGCCGCGTCAGCCTGAGGTCTCCCACCTGGATGCGCGTGCTGGTCTCGCGAGTAGCGG